ATTTCTTCAGGTGCTTCATCCTTGGATCTGAGAAAGAATACCCAAGTATACCTGGCATACTCATCAACAATGACGAGTGTGAACTTCCTTCCAGCTAGGGATTGCACGTTGACTGGATCAAAGAGATCCGTATGCAATAGCTGAAGAGGTGCAATCACTGAAGAGATTTGCTTCGATTTGAAGCTAGCTCTTGTGTGTTTTCCTTTTTCACATGCTGAGCAAAGAGATTCCTTTGCAAAAGAGTTTTGAGGAAGACCAGTGACAAGATCATTTCTTGACAGCTCACTGAGTGTCTTGAAGTTGAGATGAGATAGTCATTTGTGTCATAACCAGTTAATATCTAATAAGGCTTTGGAAAAGAAGTAGCTATTCTCGGTAAGAGAAGAATTCATATTGATGATGTATACATTCTCTAGGCGAGAACCGGTTAGAGTAACCTTATCATCTTTGTCAAGAACATGACATGAATTCTTTGAGAATTTAACTGTATAATCTTTATCACACAGTTGACTGATGCTAAGAAGATTGTGCTTCAGTCCTTCAACATATGCAACGCGTTTGAAAGTTGTTGCACCATTGGTTAATATACCAAAACCTTTGGTATATCCTTTTCCATTTCCATCGAAGGTTACGGAAGGTCCTCTTTCTTCCTTGAAATGAGTTAGAAGGGATTTATCTCCAGTCATATGTCTTGAACATCCGCTATCAAGATATCATATGCCTTTGACATCTTGTACAAGGAAACAAAATAATAATGCTATTGGTACCCAACTATTGGGGTCCAGCTTTGTTAGAGGCTTCATCATCTGATGCTAAAGAACTAACATCAGTAGATGGCATCACCGAACCTGAAGAAGTTTGAGTGGAAAGAGGAACAACCTCTGATACTATTAAGATAGTTTTAGTGGAAGTCTTCACTGAGCCTAATAAAGAGGCTTCAGTGGTAGGAACTACAACGTCTGATGCTGAAGATTTTTCAGCAGGAGTTGCCTTCGCTGAGCCTGAAGAAGAGGCTTCAACGGTTTTCTTCACCTTGGTTGCTAGTGCAGCCTTTGTGGATGATTTCACCTCGGTTGATTTCTCAGCCTTGGCTACTTTCTTGCCCTTAGCTGGCGAACCAGCTTTGGCGGCAGAAGGACACTTGTTGGCAATATGTGTTTCCTCACCATAGTGTTTACACTTCCTAAAGCTGATAGTAGCTTTAGGGCCATAAAGTATCAGACTAGAAGCGGGGCCAGCTCCAAGGATTCCCTTCTCATTGGTTCTAGGAGGAACCTTTGAGGAATTGGATTCCTTAGGTGAAAAGTTCACCTTGAGCTGTGACTTGGATTTTTGATGGGATTCAGATTTCCTAGTCGCTGAAGAAGAAGAAGCTTTACAAGCTGAAGGAATAGACCTAGATCTATTAGACTTGTTAGACTTCTTAGGAAGGGATGTCGTGACAATGGATTTACCTTTGTCTTTGCATCCAGAACTCAAAGGAGTTCCTTCAAGATGACTCTCAGTAAAAGAGGAGGACTGAGAAGAAGAACTGTTGGGAATAGAAGAGACAAAGGTACCAAACTTGAGCATGGACCTGTCTTTAACACATTCTTCCTGATCATAGGAGAATCCTAGACCAGTCGTTATCTTGGCAGGGATCTGAGCGTTAATGATCTCAAAAGCCTTGCTCCACCCTTCAATGGTAGCTTTCTCGGCCTTGAGTTCAGCGATTGCTCGCTCACGTTCAACGATAGCCTTCTCACATTCAACAGTGATGGCTTGTTTTACAATAACCTAATCTTTAAGATTTTCCTCGACTGAGGTCAGTTCTTTGATCTTAAAATGGAAAATCTTCAATTGCTCTTGAAGATCAACGTTAAGCATTTTTGCTTTCGATTTGCAATTGAGGGCATTGTAAAGGTCAACCGTCAGCGTATCCAGTGCAGAGAGACTAGAAGAAGAAGAGGGTTCATTCAGGAAACATACCTGAGTAGAAGAAGAAGATGGCTTAGAGGAAGTAGATGCTTCTGAAGATCATTCATCTGCATCTATGGCCATCAAGCAGACATAGGCTTTATCCTCTTCATCCGAGGATGATTCATCGGATGACTCAGCCCAGTCATGCTCTTCAGCAATAAGGCCTTTAGCCTTTCGCTGGTTGTTCTTCATCTTCTTGTACTTCTCCTTCAGTTTTGAGTATTTCTCATATTTGGTCCTGAAGGAGGAAGGAGCTTTAGAAGATGGCGTCACAGTCTTCTTTGATCTGCATTCACCTGCAAAGTGTCCGGGCCGATAACAGTTGTAGCAGACAGTTGAAGCCTTGTCTATTCTTTCAGACTTTGGCTTTTCCCTAAGGGACAGCTGAGGWGATCTGCGAAAGTTGCTCTTACTGGCGAACCTCCTAAATGACTTAGTCAAGAGTGCCAATGACTCATCAAAATTTGTTAAATCAGTTTCTGGAATGTCCTCAGAGATAGAAGAATCTATCTCCGTGATAACAACGAAAGGGAGAGAATAAACAAAAGGGGTAGAAGAAATTTCAACTGAAGAAGCCTCAGAGATCAAAGCCAAATGAGAGCTTTTCATTTCCCAGGACTCTTTTACAAGATTCCTCTTCAGTTGACGAGATTGCTCATGCTTAAGCAAAATCCCGTATAAAGTAGAAAGAGAAAGAATGGACATGTCATTTGACATCTTGAGACACATGGAAAAGGTGTCCCAAGACTCAGGAAGGCATTCTAGAAACTTRGTYAMAGTTTCAGAATTAGAATATTCCCTGCCGACAGCCCTAAGATCAATAAGAAGGCAGTTAAATCTTTGATGTACTTCAGACAACGTCTCAGACTTTCCATATAGAAAGCTTTCATACTGTCTTACTAGATTGATCTTTCTGGTCTCTTGAACCTGAGTGGTTCCTTCATATTGGACACAAAGTGTGTCCACATGGATTTAGAAGTTTTGAGTTTCATCACTGAGTGATAAATCTCATCAGGAAGAGACATAGCTATTATAGACCGAGCACACGTCTCTATAGTTATTTTCTTCTTGTCTTCATTGCTCTATTGATGTGGGAGCTTTGGAATCTGCCGTTCAGGAATCACGGCAGTTGTAGTTGTTGCTGGAACAGCCAGAGCAATAGCAAATGGAATATATGGTCCATTTTCTATATAATATGGAATTTCATGATCCACACCTTCAAGAAAGAGGGACATCCGGTTCTTCCAGAGACTAAAATTGTCACGGACAAACCGGAGAGGTTTGGCAAGAGAGCCATTGTCTTTTGTGTGTGTGTGTGTGTTTGTAATTTGTAAAGTTATTTGTAAGCGGTAAAGTTATCTAAGAAAGGAGATAAACTATTACTGAAAACAGCTAAACAGAAAGAGAGAGAGAAAATAATGCTCTGATACCACTTGTTGGTCCCTTGAGGGTCTACAAGAATAGTAATACAGTTTGTAGAAGGGGGGGATGAATACAAACACAATATTTTCAAATTTAAAATATATATTGATAAAGAAGATCAATACAGATTTTACAAGATTGTTTGCGAAAAGATAAGGTGATAAAAACATATCTAAACAATCTTTAGTTACACACTAAGTCTTAGCATTACAAGAAAATAAATGTTGTAAAGAAGATCATTTACTTAAGCTAGAAAATTCTTGAAGTAAGAATTAGGGTTAGAGAGTGAGTTGCGCGCACTCTGCATGGAGAAGAAACACTTCTATTTATACCTAGTGCATTAAATGTTCATTTAATGCAATATGGTAGGGTTAGAGTGTGTGTCAAGCCTTAAGAGGAAGGTTTGTCCTTTGCTACAGTGAATAGTACAAAAAGCACTATTCATGAGTAGACATCCTTACCTAAAGTTGTTGGACAATGGAGTCGACTAGTCGGCTCCGTACCGTACCAACTTTCATAAGGGTATGGGTTTGTCCTTTGTGTGCATAAGGACAAGACAACAACAATCGTGCTAAGCAAGCTTCCTTTGATCGTTGAATGTTGGAATGACCTGAAGGTCTCTTCATCATTYGCTGAAGCTTGAGCAGTCTTCACACATATATAGATATGCTTGTAATCACTGAATACCGCTTCAGATCACGTACTCGCCAGTCTCTAATCTTCAGTTTCAGTCTTCGACGTTTGCTGGAGGTTCTTTGGTGTAAGTGTTGTCTTCTTGAAGTATCGTTATTTCTGATAAATTTACAATACAAGTTCTTCAGCAATTCACTGAACATTCTCAGTGAAGATCGCTGGAACTGAAAAGACAGAAATATAAATATAACGTATAAGTGAAAAAGGATTATCATCAAATCACTGAGAGGGATGATCAACACTTATTATATTTAGGGTCATCCATGTAGCTTCAATGATCAATCAATAATAATTTCGTTTTTTATACATTCCTTTTGCAACTTGCATAAGTCTTATTGTTATTTTGTAGACTTTAATTACTGGATTGTTTCGAGGTTTAGATTTGTCAAACAACTTGGTTTTTCTGGATTGATCTAAGGAGTTTGGGCTTCAAAGTACACGTTTCTGGCTTGATTGTGTAGGGTTGAAATATTGGTTCAGATTCAAGGTTAAGGTTCCAAGAAATCATCAATATCCGATTTTTATCTCAAGGTTTTTGGATTTCTCAACAACTTCACTTAACAAGGAGTTGAGTCCACATCAGACATCATATTAAAGGTATCAAAATAAATGTTTTGAAATTGTTTTATATTTAATAGGGATAGAATAAAACACATTTACATCTAACGAAAAAATTAAAATAAAATATATTACGTTTTTATACAACCTCCTTTTACAGATAATAAATACTTACTGCAATAAAAGTTGCTTTAAATACCTCAAATTAATTCTCACTACCAAATAGACATGGTCTACAACCTTAAAAAGATTTTTCTGAAATCTTCTAAAAACCCTTACAAAATGTATGCAAACCAATTATTATTTTTTTTCTTCTACTCATTACAAGAAAGGGCAGACACTTCATAATATTTGCAATCTAGTCTCTTAATTATGTCATGTGGCTTCTTTCCTAACTACATCCCCACCATTTCTCATTTCAATTCCATTCGGGTACTCGACATCCACCATAAATCGTGACCAGAACCAATGATTCTTCCATACAACCACCATTTCGTCAATTGGAATGTTTTTTGTTTCAGGCAAGAATACATATATGAATAGTGTCATCACAACCACCCAAAAAGCAAAGAAGAGGAAGAGCCCAAACTTCAAGTGGCAAAGCATTGTTAAGAATAACTGGGCGACAATGAATGTGAAAATCATGTTCACGGAGACGACGATACTTTGGGCAGCTGATCTGATCTCGAGCGGGAAGATTTCACTTGGTACAAGCCAGCCTAACGGACCCCACGACCATGCGAATCCAGCTACGTATAGACATATGAAAAGCACTACTACAATGGCATACCATTTCGGCAAGTCGCTAGGATTCCCATCAATTCCAAACTTCAACCCTATGAAAATTGCAATGGCGACCTTTTTTCCAAAAGAGAAAATCAGTAACAATAAATAAAATGACATTAAGATAAATAAAACATCATACCTGACATATGAGCATTTGAGCACCACCTTCAAGGAAAAGAAACCGTCTTCCCCATTTATCGACACCATAAATTGAAACAGAGGTTGCAATAACATTTACACAACCTGTAATCACGGCAGACATAAGTGAAGCCTTGCCTCCAAACCCAATTGTTTTGAACAAAACAGGGGCATAAAACATAATCACGTTAATCCCACTCAGTTGTTGGAATAATGGAATCAATATAGCCATTGTCAGTTGTGGCCTATATTTCTTTTGCAGCAAGTTTCTCCAAGGATGTTCGACTTTTTGGGATGCTTCGCTAGCCATGACCAAATCATACAACTCTTGCTCGATATTGTCGACACCTCTAATTTTCTTAAGCTTCATTCTTGCCTCTTCTTTTCTACCTCTCTCGATCATGGAGTTAGGAGTTTCCGGAAGGACAACAGACCCCACCGTGATGATCAGCGCAGGGACCATGGCACCCCCAAGACTCAACCTCCAACCCCACCCTCCTTTGATCATGTTAAAGAAGTAGTTCAATATGTTGGCCACTAGGATCCCAAGCGTGATCGATAATTGAAATCCGATGTTGAGCGACCCTCTATATTTATATGGTGCCATTTCGGAAAGGTATAATGGCACCGACTGAAATTATGTATGAAAAAGATGTAATTAATTACAATTATAAGAAATTAAAAACTGAAATAATTTGAATTTGCTCTTGCAACATACATTTTTTCTTGAATTTGCTCTTGCAACATACATTTTTTCTTGAATTTGCTCTTGCAACATACATTTACAGGGGCAATTATGTCATTGTAAATTTACCAATAAATGTTTTGATAGTATCATTCAAGATAAATAAAATTTTCTTTGTAATGAAAAGTTCACGCATCATTAAAAGTCCTACTACGATCATGAAAAGATCCATTACCTGATTAGCAAACCCGATTCCGAACCCGAGTAGGATCCGACCCACGATCAGCATCCAAACCGTCTGAGCCAATCCATTTATCAAAGCTCCGGCGCAGAACAAGATGCCGCCGATGAGCATAGACAGTTTCCGGCCAAGTTTCCGTGTCACCATCGACGCCACCAGCGATGACGCAAGCGCCGCCAAGTACAAAGACGACGTGAACATCGTCAATATCTGACTGTCGAACTTACAGTACTGGTTTGTCGACGTGTCTGCCATCTGTTTACGGTACACCGACGGGAAGAATTTCTTCAAGAACGGGTCCATCGATGTCACTCCGCCTGTAAAAGTTCAATCAGAAATGCAACTCAAAAATCAAAATACTCCATTTTCTAAGAAAATATGTGCATCATAAACATTGTTACCGGAGATTCCGATATCGTAACCGAAGATGAGGCCACCCATGGCAGCAACAATGCAAGTAACGGTGACGTAAAGAGTAAGGTTTCCTGGGTAAGCTGTATCGCCTCCGGGAGCTGTCGGAATTCCACCGCCGGCCATGGCAATTTGAGAAGAACTCCGATGAGCAATGTAGTGAAAAAGCAAAAGTATGAGAAGTTTGTAATAGTGAGAGGGAAGAAGATCGTCGGTGCATTTATAGGGTTGATTTTAGTTTCTCCAACAAAAAAACTCTATCCTTGTCATCATCCAAAAAGATAACCTATAAAATTAATAATAACTATAAGTAGATTTCATACCATTTTTTTAATTTAAAACTAGAATTAGAAATATTAATTCAAACATTTTTAATCAAAACAAAAATTACATGTAAGAAGTTTTATGAATAATATACACATAAAAACAAACATATTGTGAAATAAATATATGTTAATCAATATATTAAAACTATGTTTAGCAAACTAACTTATATAAACTACCTGACTTAGCTGATGAAAATCATGTTTAACACAAATAAACATGTAATATTATTAAAATAGGCATCTTAAATTTTTTTTATCAATTACAACATTAATAATATAACTAAAACAATTTTTAATGACGTAATATATTAATTAACATAAATAAAATAT